CCCACCGCGTATTGTTTATCTAAGGCCTCCAGAGTTCAGTGGAAGTCTTTGTGTTTCTGTGCAGCTGTGTCAGCTACCCACTGTTAAGGCTTCACACTGATTAGAGTTTTTACACAGAGACCCACTGTTCATTAAAGAGTTACTGAAGGGATTTAAACTGCACTTTTTACCACATGGACAACTGAAAATGTTAAAGATCTGAATGTGTCGCTGTAAAATGATTTCACCTACTGGCATTGTTGCACCTAATGAATCATCGTTCATGTTCACGTCACTCACTTAGTTACCTGACTGGGGTGTGTTACTGACAGGTGTTTCTGTTATTTTGTCCAGGCGCTGAACAGTAACCAAGTATATTTACTCAAATACTGTACTTAAGTACAGTTTTGAAGTGTCTGTACTGTACTTGAGTATTTCCATGTCCTGCTACTCCATCCTGTGACTTCACTCCATGTCAGAGACAGGTAGGTAGGTAGGTAGGTACTTTATTGATCCCACAGTGGGACAATTTCTGTGTTACAGCAGCAATAGGGAACAACCAACATAACACCATAAGAACAGACACCACCATAAGAACAGACACATAAGAACAGAACTTCATAGAAACACGGGAAAGAACACACGAGGACACAGCTGCTGTAACTTGCTGCCACTCCACGCGGCGCACAAAGAACGCTTAGTCTTAAAATAAAAACTTACATAAAGGCAACAAAGCATTAGGACCGATACGCACAAGGATTATAAAAGTAGCATCATCAGAACGTTACATTTTACACAGCACAAATAAGCAAATCAAAGGCACCTAAAAACAGGGCAAAGCAGCACTGGAGAGAATCGGGAAAAGCAGTAGAGACTAAACAACCAGGAAATCAAGAACAATTGAATATTACTCACACAATTAATCCCACAATGGCAGAAAGAAACCTGTGTTTCAGCCATAAGGATCTCTGAGCAACTACTCAAAAATACCTAAAGCAGGGTACAGTATTGTATCTGTATCTGCATTGTATAGCGCCAGGTACAGTATTTGAGAGAGATCAGGAACAAGATATTACACATGAGCCTATTTACAATGCATTTCACCCCCAGGAGCTGAAATATTCCACCTCAGTAGATTATTACATAGTCCTTCATAATTTCACCTAGTTTATCACTGCAGTGATGTGTTGTACAGTCTGATGGCTGTGGGGAGGAATGACCTGCGGTAACGCTCCTTCTTACACTGGGGATGTAGCAGTCTTGTGCTAAAAGAACTGTTCAGAGCCACCACTGTGTTGTGCAGGGGATGGGAGGGGTTATGCATGATGGATGTTAGTTTTACCAGCATCCTTCTGTCCGCCACCTCCTCGACAGAATCCAGAGAGCAGTCCAGGACAGAACCAGCTCTCTTGACCAGCTTGTTAAGTCTCTTTCTGTCCCTGACTGTGCTACCTGCTCCCCAACCCACAACAGCATAAAAAACTGCAGATGTCACCACAGAATCATAAAATGTCCTTTGGAGTGCCCCGCGCACACCAAAGGACCTCAGTCTCCTCAACAAGTGGAGGCGGCTCTGGCCCTTCCTGTACAGGGCATCTGTGTTGTTGGTCCAATCCAGTTTATTGTTGACGTGGATACCCAGGTAATTAAAGGTGTCCACAATCTCAATATCTGAGCCCTGCAAGCTCACCGGCGTGAGTGCTGGTGATTTCCATCGGGAGTCAATCACCATCTCTTTTGTCTTGCTGGTGCACACAAACCATGCACTTTTTACTGCACTACATGTACCTGATAACTTCAGTTCCTTTCCAGAATCAGATGAATCAAACCAAACCCAGTAGAACCATTAGACTCTATTGATCCCAGTGGGAAATCAACCAGCTACCCAGCAGGATGGAAAGTACTTCACAGTATAAGTATATAAGGTAGTTACCATCAGCTCCACCTTTACCAGCTGCAGCATTAAAGTGATGGACACAGTAATTAGTCACTATGATCCAGTATCAGAGACATTACTGGGACACAGGCCGTTCTGCAGGACGAGTACTGGTACTGCTGGTACTTCAGGTAGATTTTAATGATAATACTTTTGTACTTTTACTTCAGTAACATGTTGAATACAGGACTTTCACTTGTAACAAATTCTTTGCGTACTGTGTTAAAGGATCAGAGCACTTCATCCACTTTTGCTGATATAAATGGGATGGACAAAATAATAGGAACAGTGTGGTTTGTTGTGAACTGATTTGTAACCATCCTTAAGTGTTTCCGCGCACACAGTCGCACCTGGAGAGTGTGCACAAATGGCCTTTACATGACACATAGCTCCGTGTAGAGGAAAATGAGCCTTTCTGACATTTCCCCAAAACACTTAATCCATTTTAACACACAACACGCTAACACTACTTTAGAAGCAGGAAGTCGCTACATGTTCTTGTTTAACCCCGAATAAACAGGCGGAACAGCTGTGCGCCGAACTCACCGTCGGCGATGATCAGAGTTTTGGCACAGTTCCGATGTTTGGACATGACGACACACAGGTGCACGGGTGACCGGCGGATTAGGTACCCCGCAGTACTTCTCGGTTATGGGTCATACTGTCAAGTCCTCTGCTGGACAAAACCAGACCCGGAAACACCCGACAGCTTCACTCTCACGTGATCCATCTCTTAACTTCTCATTGGCTGGGGTCATAGTTTGCACTTAAAGGAAAAGACGGTACAAGGAACTGGCTTCCTACATGATTCCGGTGAAAGTCTCTCTGCACGTGTCCCGTTCGACGGTTTCCGGTCCGGTTAGTTAACCTGCAGGGTGTTAGATTTTACCCAAATTCTTTTATTGAAAGCGTGAGAAGTGAAGACAGGAGAGGACTGTTTACAATCAACAGGAAGTTTACTGGACGTCTGAGCACAGGTAGGTCTTACAGCGCTGGGATCAGAGAGATAGAGCTCCCGCAGGAATTCCATTCTCTGAACCCTGAATTAAGTTTTACAATACATTTTAAATTCTTGGGCTGCTCCGCCCTAGACAGGGGTGCAACCTTCATTTGGTGTGAGCCGGAGCTCACACTTCCATGTTGGAATGTGGCAAAATCTAGGTATGTGTATGTCTGTGTGTCTCAGGTGGCAGCTTGAGCTGAATCGAGAGCACCGATCAATGGGTGGCCCGAGTTGCGGGCCCCCTGAGTGTGTGATGCTAATACGTATGCTAAACTGGCCAGGTGGTCATCTCAGGTTGTGGGCCCCCTGGCTCTGCAGGACACTCCAAGACAAAGCAGAGCTTGGGATATGCTTAGTGGGTCGAGGTGTGAGTGCAAAACAGGCCAACATGTCTTTGTTAAAATGTAAATATCCTGTCTGGTCCCCAGGAGATGCAGCCATCCAGTCTCAGCAGAAGTTACAGAAAGTAAGCAGATTCTGCTTCATTACAGTTGTAAGATAAATAAGCAAGGAAAATAAATGTATTAAAAATAACCAAAGCTCAGTAGTTCTGGACAATCATCAATACAGCTGTAATATGTATAAACAAGGAAAATAAAGTTATGAAAGGTAACTAAATTTATGAAAAGTAACTAAAGGGAACTAAAGGTATAAAAAGTGACTAAAGCTTATAAAGTAACTAGAGTCTATTCGACCCGGTTCAGCTCGCTCCAGGCCGGCGGCAATGTGAGGCAGCTCGGCTGGGAGCGGAAGTGGACAGATGTCAAAACAGGTTGTTGGGTTCTGGTTTATACAGTGGCAAGATAAAGTCATGGCATTGTTCACAGTTTCCTGGTTTTCTGCATAAATTGGCCATGAAATGTGATCTGATCTTCACCAAAGTCCTAAATATCAACAAACAACATTTCTAAGCTGAAACACAAACATTTCTTGTCCTTATTGAACACTTGATGGTAGACAAAGCCACGGCAGCATCAGGCTTCTGATGTCACTAAAGGTCAGCTGGAGTCAGGTGATGGCAAACCTTCAGTCCAATCAATGAAAGAGAACGGAGAAGTGGTTTAGGATGACCTGGACTTATCAAAACACTCAGTGTCGGTGTGCTGTTCACAAGCAGCATCATCTGATGTGAGCTAGGCCTTGTGAAAAAGAGACCTCAGAATCAGCTTTATTGGCCAGGTATGTCAGACCCACGAGGAATTTGACTCTGGTACATTGGCTCTCAATGTGCATGTGCATGTACATATCCCCATGCATGATCAAGAGCTGCTGGTGTGCATGTCGCTGGATAGGGTCACGGAGTCGCCTCACTGACTTTAGATATTCACCAGTCCACAGTCAGACATAGTGTCTATAAACAGAGACGATGTGGTGCTGTGGCTACTCTCCTCAGAAGTGGGCATCCGGCCAGGATCAGTCCACAGGCACCACCACAGGATGCCTTTTGTTAGTGAGGAGACAGGGATGTGTAGTGTTAATAAGTCCTGTAGAGAAACTGCTCGACATGTAGTGTAATCATCCCTGTGGTGAAACTGTAGTGGTGGGTCAAGGGCCACAGACCCACAGATGTCCAGTATGACCAGTATGATTTCATGTCTCCACTATTCTGTCCAATTTGCAGAACTGGAGAATGTCTGAAGAGGTTCCACATGAGGGGGACCAATCCCAGTCCTCTGAGTTCCAGTCCCCATCCCAGACCCAGTCCACCCTCTCCCCGTCCCAGGCCCAGTCTACCCAGTTGCCATCCCAGGCCCAGTCCCCATCACAGTCCAAGTCCCAGTCCCAGCCTGGTTCCAGCTCTTCTAGCGGGCCGACCTCAGGAAGCCAGTCATCCAGTGGCTCTGGGACTCTGAGCAGCATGGACACCATCCCCGTCACTCTGCCGTCTGTCCCAGAAGAGCCCGAACCACAACCCTGGGGCCGCCTGCTGCCCATGGCTCGAGGCTTCAGGAGCCTCGGTGATTATTACACGCTAAAGACTAGTCCTAAACTAGCTCTGTTAGCACTAATGCTAGCGCTAATGTAAATGTTTACACTTGACTTAAAATTAGTACTAGTCCTTAACTAGTTCTAAAACTGGCCTTGTTAGTCATTTTTTAAGTCCCATAGTTTGTACTAATACAACTCCTAATGTCAGTACCGATAGCAGCCCTACAGATAATACTATTACTAGTACTAGCTATAATACTGGTATTAATGCTATTTATAAAGTTATAAATAGACAGTCAGTACCTATTTATTTGTTTGTTTACAGACTGCATCGAGGATCAGTACCTGTTTGGACGAGGCTCTAACTGTAACTATGTCCTGGATGATCCTGATGATCGAGGATCCAATAAGTTCAGAATCTACAGCAAGAAACACTTCAGGATCTTCAGAGTGAGATTCTACCTCTTAATACTAGTAGTACTAGCACTACTAGCACTGCTGCTACTGTTTACTGCCTGTCTGTCTGCCTTCAGGAGGGCAGTGAAGTGTTTGTGGAGGACTACAGTAACAACGGCACATTTGTTGACGGGCTCCTGATCGGTAAAAACAAGAGGCAACCCCTGGTCAACAACGCTGTGCTCGCGCTGGCTGAACAGCGCAACAAAGGTCAGGCCCACTGAGATACACTACTGGCCTGAATATAAGACCTCCTCTTGCCAACATGTTTTTGAGACCCCATGAGATGTCGACACTTCGCTGTCTTGTCCTTGAAGATAAAATAACCTCTATTTTTTCAACCTTAATTTCCAGAAAAAAAAAGATGCTCTTATATTCAGGTCAGTACGGTACTAAAACACCTGGACTATTGCTCCTGGTCTCACTTCCCCCTGTCTGTCTCTCTGTGTCCTCAGTGTTTGTCTTCATTGATCTGATATCTGATGATCAGTCCAGTTTACCTAAAGAGCTGCAGGAGAAATATCTGCTGACTCGACGCATTGGCACGTGAGTCCGACTGTTTGCACACACAGACAGGAACAACTCGTGTCACTGCAGCTGCCATTTTGGTACAGGGAACCCTCCCGATCCATGCAGAATGCCAGGGGCTCTTAAAATCACCATAACTTACTGAATTTACTTACTGAATTTGGTTTGTTGCTATATAAAAATGTCTATACAACACATTAAACGTGGTTACATTAAAATGTGGATCTTCACACAAAACATTTGATGAACTTACCCTTTGAAGTTATTTCCTAAATTCATTCTTTGGTCTTACTGCAGTGTAACATGGCTGCCACAAGATCAGACTAAGGTAACAACAGAGACATAATTACAACCAGTACTACATTTAAAGGATGAGGAAAATTGATCATTATGATTATTATGACATTTGTAGTGAAATGTTTCTGACATTGTGATCTGTAGTGAGAGCAGAGAGCAGGTGGAGGAACACCTGGAAAGGTGGAGGTCTACTCTGGGAAGAAGAAGAATGAAAGTCAGTCGTGGTAAGACAGAATACATGTGTATGAACGAGAGGGAGGGAAGTGGAACAGTGAGGTTACAGGGGGCTGAGGTCAAGAAGGTGCAGGAGTTTAAGTATTTGGGGTCAACAGTCCAGTGTGATGGGGAGTGTAGGAAAGAGGTGAAGAGGCGAGTGCAGGCAGGTTGGAGTGGGTGGAGAAAGGTGTCAGGAGTGTTGTGTGACAGAAGAGTGGCAGCAAGAATCAAAGGAAAGGTGTACAAGACAGTAGTGAGACCAGCTATGCTGTATGGGTTAGAGACTGTAGCAGTGAGGAAAAAAAGGGATAGTGGTTATATTGGTAGAAGGATGTTGGAGATGGAGCTGCCAGGCAAGAGGTCAAGAGGAAGGCCAAAGAGGAGATATATGGATGTGCTAAAAGAGGACATGAAGCTAATTGGTGTGAGAGTAGAGGATGCTGAGGATAGAGTTAGGTGGAAACAGATGATTCGCTGTCGCGACCCCTAACGGGAACAGCCGAAAGAAGAAGTAGTGAAATGTTTCTAATTTTCATATTTATATTAAGTCACAAGGTTTATACTGCTGTGATGTCACTTCCTGTGGCCTGAAACAGCATGGTGTATTGTGTGTGTGTTTCAGAGGCGTGTGTGGTGAAGTCAAACTGGCCTTCGAGAGATCAAACTGTAAGAAATTTGCAGTGAAAGTAATAAACAAGAAGAACTTTCAGTCTGAAGGGGTGAGTCTGCTCTCTGATTGGCTGAGACATTTCCCTCCTTTCCATCCTCTGACTGATGTAGCAGAGGCTAATGTCAAAGAACTACAAACATGGTGTCTGAACATTCAGTTCCTCAGAGAGGATGATCTTCCTATGGACCAAAGCAGGCTGGGATGGTGATCATGTGATCTGCTCGTTTTGTCTAATTACAGACAGCCACACGAAATGCTGAGACAGAGATAGAGATTCTCCAGAGGATCGACCATGTGAGTCTGACACCAACAAAGAAGAGACACACACAGATTTATGATGAAAACACTGACTTAGCATTAACTCCTCTCCTCATTTCCTTCCCCTACCTCTTCTTTCCTCTCCTCTCTCCTCGTCTCATGTGCTGCAGCCATGTCTCATAAAGACGGAGGACTTCTACCAGACAGATGACAGTTACTACATTGTGTTGGAGTTGTGAGTTCAGCTCTCTTTAAAGGACCAGTCCGCTGCTTTTCTGTAAGTCTGTGTTTTATACTTCTGTCTCTGTGTCAGGATGGAGGGGGGTGAACTGTTCCACAGAGTGAAGTCTCAGCAGCAGCTCCACGAGGCCATCGCCAAACTTTACTTCTACCAGATGCTCAAAGCTGTCCAGGTGAGGGTCAGCTGCTGTTGCTATGGTAACCTGTGCACCTCCCTAAACAGTGTTGAGCCGCTGGGGTCCAGATGAGGAGAAAGAAACTCTGTCACACACGTTGTGAGCTCACAGCAGAGCACTCTAAGCAGCTGTTATGCTTGTCAGTTTTTGTTGACTTGGTTGGGGCCTTACGCAGGCTGGAAGTCAGTGACTGGAATGAAAAAAAAGTACTCTCACTGTGTTTTACAGACGTCACAGTGTTTAATACTGCAGGCTTACCGTGATGGAGTGTGTGTGTGTGTGTGTGTGTGTGTACGCATGCAGTACCTCCACAGTAATGGCATCATCCACAGAGACCTGAAGCCAGAGAACATCCTGCTGTCCTCACAAGACGACGTCTGTCTCATCAAGGTACACGCACCTACATCTTCATCTCCATCTCCACACACTTGTATAATGTCTTCCTGGGAATTCGCTGTGCGCACGAGAGGCCGTTTACTATCGGCTGATTATACAGACGTGCTTCAGTCATTAATGTTTGTTGAGTTACACCAGCTCAGACACTTTGTAGTACTTTACTGTATTTATCAGACAAATACACAACTGTGAAAGTAGTACTATGATCATTTACTGAAGTAAAAGTGTAGAAATACTCTGTTACAAATAAATGTCATGCATTGTAAATTATACTTAAGTACAAAAGTATTATCATCCATATATACCTGAAGTACCAGAGGTACCAGTACTCGTCCTGCAGAACGTCCCGTGTCCCAGTAATGTCTCTGATACTGGATCATAGTGACTAATTACTGTGTCCATCACTTTAATGCTGCAGCTGGTAAAGGTGGAGCTGATGGTAACTACCTTATATACTTATACTGGGAAGTACTTTACATCCTACTGGGTAGCTGGTGGATTTCCCACTGGGATCAATAGAGTCT